TGTGCCCACAGTCTATGCACACACACACACACACACACACACACACACACACACACACACACACACACACACACACACACACACACACACACACACACAGCATGGTGGCTGACTCAAAATCTTTCCCCCTTTTGTCCCAGTTCTTCGTGTTAAAAGGTGCTCTGTGCATCACAGCTCTGTTCAGAACAGTAATTACATGTCAGGAGCCTTATTTTGCCAGTATATTGAAGTGAGTTAACGTGAGGATCATAGCAGAGGAGAAATAACTCTGCCTAGAATGTCTGATAACATGAATTGTGGAAAATCAGAGGAAACAAGCGCAGCGTTATGGGGAGACTCACGGAATTTGTTTTTTTGAGTTGTAAAACATGCTGACTCGTGTTAGTACCTCAATCGCTTTGCTTTCCTTTATACAATACTGACCAGCATTAGAAGTTTCTTTTTGACCATAGCCCCAATAACAGATTGAATAAAAAAATTGACATCATTGATGTAAACTTGGCCGAGAGAATACAAGAGGAAAGTCTCGGTAACAAACGCCAAAGTTTAAGATCGCCATAAATTCTGAACTTCAAAATGAAAACATTACAACCTTCGTGAAGGTAGGATTTACAGCGTGGATGTTGTATTACAGCTAGAGTGTAAACCGTCTCACAGAGTTCTTTACATCAGCAATAACTAGGCATTATGCTTGAGTAAAGTTATGTAGATAATATGACATGGCAAATAGTACAGAAGTGTCTTGCAATTTGCCATGTTGGCTATTGTTCTAAAGTATTTGGTTGTAGTGAGCTATTGCATGAGCTGTTTTGCTTTACGGCTGTATGAGTTTTACAGCAAATAAAAATCAATGTGAGGAAGAACATTAGTGATGACTCCAGATGACTAGTGACCGAGAATTGCCCCACTGTTCCTGAAAGGTTTCTGCATAATGTATTTTAATTAGATGGGTAGACTCTGAATTATAGAGCACATATAGCAACAGCGCTCACCTTAATTCATGATGGATTTTACTATGCGTTAAAGGAGACATGATATGACCTCTTTTCACCCATGAGTTGACACTTTTTCCTATGGTGCTGTATAGGTCTAGTGTGGCCTGACCTATTTAACTCTACTCCACTTTTTTTCTGCGTCACTGTGTTCCGTTTGAGACATTAGACTGTGGAATTAAGAGTTGTTGTCCATGAATCCAGGTGCATTCAGTGAAAGACAAGAAATCTGAATATTTAGCCTCTGACAGAAAAAAAAATCACTGACCACAACCAGGATTTTTGTGTTTAGAATAAAAAACCTTTAAAAACATGACGCAGAGGATTTTTTTAAGTGAGCTTTTCACTAGTGATGAGAATTGATGTCAAGAGCAATTCACAAAGAAAGTCCTTCCAAAGAATAATGAATGCGGGATTATTCAGAATTGTGGCTTTGAAAATCCCTCTAAATCTGAGTATCTCACTTTATGATTTATACAATTTCCAGATCTTTAAACAATGTGTTGGATGTTCTTTTTCTGAGAGTTTTAGTTCTTAGAGACACCCAAAGTACCCATTAGTCACAGTACTATTAAAAAATATATTAAATAATGACACGGGATACAGCCTATGATATAAAGCTGATTATAAGACAAAACATTAATCATGTGAGCATTCTAAATCCACACACGTTGTTGTGATAATTTGTCAAAAAATAATCCGATAGTAACCGATAATAAATGATTTAATACGTTCATGTTATTTATTGTAATGCAAATATTTTTCCTTGGATGTGGCTTGCTGCAGAAGGTTATCTGCTGACATTTGCACATCCACATAACAGACACTGTAGTAGGTGTATGTGGGGAACTGGCACTAGGAGAAGGCAGGGAGTTGTGCATTTGTCACTCACCTCACCCATTACAGATATTTTACTTTTCACCATCTGCTCAGCTTGGTGTGGAGTGAAAGTCCCACGGAATTAATTTTCGACAGGGTGGCGCCTTCTGCACTGTCGGAGAGTGCGACAGTGTCCAACAGATGTGTTAGAGCCACATGGGGGTGTTCTGCGAATTATCAATGTCCAGAGAGGGTTATGCTGCTTAGTGTGATCAAAGGATAAGGAGGGCATCGGTGACTGGAGAGGAAAAAGGCGAGGCTTGTCTTTTATCTGTGGGTGAAGATTTAAAGCTGATATTGATTCATGCGATGAGGAGAGCTGAAGTACAGTCGGAAACCGTCGGCTCTGTGATTTGCCTGCGTGTTAATGATGTGGGAGAACTGCGGGAAACAAAGCAATGCAGATAAAGCAAACATGTGCTTTTCCATCTATTTTTTAAACCGCTTATCCTGAACAGCCCGGGCAGGATGGCTGGAGTCTGTCCCAGCATGCATTGGGCAAGAGATGTGGAATATTTTGGACCGCTCTCTGGTTTGTGAAAGGAGGATTTTCTTTTGTTTGTTTTAAACTAAAGTCAGCAAATAGAAGGGATTAATCATTTGATGAAAAATATTGTGACTTAATTTCAATAAACAGAGACTTTAAATTTAAGACTTTAACTAAAAATACAACCGTTTTTACCCGGGGGAACATAAGATAGGGCGATCATCATTTTTTTATACTTATGCTTTTATACTTTTCATTTTTAATTCAAATCTAAAGTTGCAAAGCAAAGTGAATAGGTGAACAAAAAAATCATTATTTGTTCGAAGTCTGATATATTTTGATATATCAACTCTCTTTTGGCCTCATTCTGGAATAAGGACACTAGCCCAGTTGAACTTGGGTTGGGGAATAGGCAGAGCTTAATCTGTCACGTGTCCCACGTCTAAGACATTTGCCTTCACCCCCTGAATGACAATAATCTATTGATGAAGTAGACCAATTCACACAGGAAAAAAGATTTGGATTTGGCTGGAAAACTTTTTGTTGTGATACATGTAATTATCTTCCTAAATTAATAATACAATAAAAGTAATTGTTAAAAAGCAATAATAAGCAAAAAGAACAAAAAATTCCTTTATGGTAAAAGTATACATGAATCTATTCTCTACCCATACATTTTCATGAAGGAGAATTTAAGCAAAATTTGCAAATCCCGCGAAAAAGGAACATGGGCACCCAGGACCAGTATGGGATTAATTAAAGAGGCCGTCTGACTGTCATGGCAGGAAGACTGGATGGCTTGTGGCACATCACAGGCTGAATCAAAAGGTCAAAGTTCTTGTGCCCACACATTGTGTCACATGTGTGACACTTAAATGTGTCTCTTGCTTTCGCTTTGTTTAATCTAAAATGATTTATCTGAAATGCTAGCCTCGAAAATATGTGTGATAGAGCCAAAAAGCCAACAGAAAGAGATAGTAGGGGGAAAAAAAAAAAACCCAGCAACGGTCTTATGCAGAGGACACAATGCAAAGCTAGTGTGGGTGGCCTGCCAAGCCTGCAAGAGAAATATCGCTCTCACACCCACTCTGGCTCGCAGGATTACCCATGGCATGTGCATGACAGCCAAAACTGTGACAATCTCTGTCCAATCAAGGCCCAGTGGCCCTTAATTACTGAGCCGTAACCTCCAGCAATAATTCATGCATTTCAAAAGCACACGAGACAATCGGGGACATTAAAGCCCCCGTGGTATGAAGCGAAGAGCTGGAGATGTAATAAATGAAAGATGGCTGCCAGAAGGAGACCCTCTTTGATTTTGGGGGCTAGCACTCTTTCAGACTGAAGTGGCCACTGAAAATAGATTAAACCATGATGGAAAAGCTGCTGAATGACAAATAACTATCCATTACAATATGTTTAGTGCTAGAATATTTGTCTTCTCATCTTTGTTTGCTGCTGTTATAAGAGCTCTATAGTCTCATTCTGATGGTAATATATTTGTTCTCCATTTAACAGTCACATTTGTTCAGAGTTAAGCTGTAAAACCAGACTTTCTGCTATGTTAATGTATATAAGGGCTTTATCGAAACTACTTCCATATCAGGCATAGCAATCAGTGGTTCACAAGAGGAGAGTGTGAAAACCGGATTCTGGGATTTGCATATAAATCAATGTGTACTAGACAACAGCTTCCTCTAACATCTTCATCATCACATTTATATCAGATACAGTGGAATTGGCTTCTTCACATGGTGGTTTTTACAGAATTCACGGGTAAGTAATGACATATTGCACAATATGTAGCTGGGAAGCACAAGAACTGGTTTGGGAGGAGCAATCATTCAAGTATCGATGCACAATTGTGAACATTAAAAGAAATACATAAATGATTATCATTAAGAAAATGGAAACACCTTGAAAAAAGCAATTTACTAGATGAGAAACATTACTCCCAGGAGGAGTTAAAATATGAGAATTATGCAGGATTTGCCAACACGTGTTTTTTTTCAAATTTTTCACACTCAACACATTTAGAAGGATTACCAATTAATTTATAAGACAGTTATGTCCTATTGTTTGTACTGCTGTACCTAATTTGTACAACGTTTGACCGACATTGCTTTAACAGTTTTTGGAGTTAGCTAGACAGCATAACTCCTCATTTGGTGACTTTTACCCAACAGTTTCTGCAGTTCTTTTCGGCGCTCCAGCAGCATATCTACAGCTCCACTCTTATTAACTTGCGGAGTTTAATTGAATTCCATTTGGCAGTAACATAAATATATGCCAGTCTATCATTTGCTCATGCCTGGTAATTAGTCCATTGTTAAACTAAATTGAACACACCTGCTTTGTATAATTTCTTGTGCATATACAGCCGCTGCATGTAGACGATTTTAAGATTCTAGGCTTGTGGAAAGGATGGAGAAGTCAGGCTTTACGCGTTGTATCTCTTTCTCAGACCTCACAGCAATTAACAATTACAAAAACCAAACTTGGGCCAGGATTAATACACTCCTATCTGAAATTACTACAATGAGCCGGTAAGGAGATTATCCCTGTTCCGCGAATGTATCGCTCCATTTTCTATTTCATTGTTTCTTCATTGTATTGGAACCTGGTCCCAAAGGCCAGGATTCAATCATGTTTGAACATACATCAGTTTCGGAAAGCTGCAAACAGACAATGTCACAGGACATACAGTTAATAGTTAATGCCATACATATGTCAGTCCAAAAAGTGATGCTTACAGACTTGCTCGGGAGGAAATCCATGCATTTCCTCTAGAGGTACAAGTAAGAGTTTTTGATTTTAACTGATGAGATTTCCCGGAGGAGAAAAACTTGCACTTCAGATATTGGAATTGATTTGCTCCTCTGCGGCTATCCAGATATTTACCTTCTAGCTAATTGCAAGAGGCAAGAGCCATTCTGCAGAAGGAATAAGACTCACTGAGGGGCAATGCATTTTCTTCTATGCCTTGGACTGTGGCCACATCTTCCATTTAAGATGCTCTTTCTAAGTAGCACACACAAAACTGTCTAACTTAGCTGTTTTACAATGTGAAACTGACAGCCGGCATAATGAACGCTATCTTTAAGTTGTTCAATGAGAGGGTTAGTGAGGGAAAGCTATTTTGCACCAAATCTGAATCCAAAGCACACTTTAAACAGGAGTCGGATAAAAACTCTACAATTTATAATTCTACTTGGAAGATCCACTCACAGATGCCATTTTAAAAATATATATATTTTTCTTGATTTTATGATTTTATTACAGATCGCTTTGTGATTGGGTATGTCACTTTCCCTTCTCTCACATTCGTCTATATACTTGGTCACAATGAGCAAACTGAGTGACATCCCTTTACATGTCTTCCTATTTCTGTTCTTAACAGATCAGGAGCGAATAGGGAAGGACTCTCACTATGAGCAGGAGGGAAAAGTGCAGTTTGTCATCGATGCCGTCTATGCAATGGCTCATGCTTTGCACAACATGCACCAGGAACTCTGTCCAGGGAAGTTGGGTCTCTGTGCCAAAATGGATCCCATCAATGGTACCCTTCTCCTCAAGCATATCCGACGGCTGAACTTTTCAGGTTAGTAATATTTTTTTTCTTTTTGGGAATATGTATCCGAATGTATATCCGATCTCAGAAGACCTCAATAAGGGAATACAGTGTCCTATAAGACACATTTTATGATAGATCCAGCAACAGTTTTCATTAGTAGACTATCGACATACATCCTTGCACAGTAAAAAATCAGATTAAATGTGATTCGTTCATTTCTACAGTTTCCAATAAACACTTGTCAGATTATTTGTACACCTACAGATAATTTCCTGTAGTCTGAGTTAAATGGCAATTTTAATAGTTACCTCTGAGCACTGGATGACTGAGTCAAAGTAACAAGTAAATGCAAGACAGTGGCCCAGGAAAGTGCATTCATCTGCAACACAAATATAACTATTCACTTTGAACTATGAGCAGCAGCAAATTTAGCATTTGGTCCAAGTTTTACTGCTGACCTGAACAATTTACCAAGTAAAAAAGCAGAAGAGCCACATAGCTGCAATATAACATACTTTTCCACTGTTTGCTGAGATGGCGTACTGGCTTTAAAGGACTGATTAGTATAAAATAAGTCGCAGTGAGCACAAGGAACAGAGCTGAATGTTAAACTGAAGGAATCAATTATTTCAGAGTCATGGTGTCAACCTCGTTGTTGATCTGAATCACAATCATGTCAAGATTCTCACTAATGAATCACATCAGACTCAATTTGTGATTGGGCTGAGATCACCTCCTCTCTGGAGTCTCATCATTTAGTCACACCCTGAGTGTGATGAGCATCTTCAGGTCTATAGTAAGGTGCAGATGTTAAGTGCTTACCATGTTAAACTTGTCACTTTGGCGTATTAGCTTGGTAACGTTCTATTACAACAAATTATTAAAGCTGAAACTAGTAGTGTCCAGTGGGGAACTTAAATATCAGATCAATTATAGACTATTCTGCTTATCTTTAAAGGATAATATTAGCAGATGAAAAGTTAGAGGATGAAATGACTACACAGAGTTTGGGGGCACCATGGATATTGTCACACAATTTCATGGCAATTCATTTAAAAATGTCAACCTTGTTGTAGTGCTTTAGGAAAAGTCAGATAACCAGGACAAAAATCTATCCCCTGGCTACTTTTTAATTTCATTTTCATGTCAGCTCCCCTAAACATAGACATTTAAAGAGTGCAAAATGAACAAACCAACCCCCATTGCTTTTTAACTCTCAACTGTACAATAACATACATTATTGAACAACGGGTTGACCTTATTGTTTCTGATAAACAAAATCTTGCAGATTGGAGGCTTTTGATGACAAAACCTATGCATTTTAGGGTTTGTCGGAGCTTACTAATTTAAAGAAATCATCTGAAATGTTTCACGTTTTCAACGTGAAAAAGAAATCCAAAAGAATCTTCACTGATAGATAAAATGAGACGAGGAAACTCAGACTGTGATATATTAGTCTTTGTTGCAGGGTAATTTTCTTGATTCACATCCCTGGAAACACTTATATTCTGATGCTGCCGCAATGGGGGAATAAGCCCCAAAAACCTGCAGAATCAGAAGGTGTACTGTTTTTTCAGTGTTACTTGAAATGCTCATCTTCTTCAGCACTCCATATTTCACACTAGAACCATCTATTATAACACAGCTCATAGTTTTGGCACCGCTGTGCTTTGAAATGCCGCATCATAACAGGCACATGGGTGTTACTGTGACAGTTGCCGCCCACTTAGACATTTTCCAAACCATATTGCAACAACGCCCCCCTGCAGCATCAGCTTCACCGAACAGCAGAGAGCCTCGCACGAACCGCTCAAAAAAAGGGATAAAAAACACTCCTAGGAGTCGGAGGTGTTCAACTGCTCACCAAAAATGTATTCAATGCTCTGAATGGTGCTTGTTTTGTTGTGACTGATTTGTGCACGTTGAAGTGTGATAATAACGGCATGACGGTTTGAGCATCCTAAGGTTTGTGTTATGTTACTTTGTTTGTGTGTCACTTTATAATTTAATTATGTGAGACATTTGAAACATTTCTTTGCTGTTTTATAAACCGTCTCTCATTACAGACATTTTTTTTTACAGCTCATGAATCCCAAACCCAGCACTTAACTGACTTTGTGTCCTTCATTTCTTGACCCATTTTCCAGCCCTTCATGCAGCATTACATTATACCCACTTATCAGTCAAGTTCACATTCATGACTGGCATATTAATAATTGACTACTTTCACCAAAGAGAAGTCATCCAGAGTTTCATTATATACTCACTTCCTTTTACAAAGCAATGGGATTCAAGACAATTAAAATGATTTCTTAGACACTGGAGTGTGCACTGTTTGTACAGATAAATTATTCATTTCAACCCCTGCTCTTCAAGCTAATTTGTCATTCTAATATCTACTTATAACAGAACGTCAACTTAATGTTTAATTCACATCCCAGAAGTTAAAGGAAATATTTTCCTTTAAAAAAAATTCCATTAATTTACGTCTGTAAAGTTCAAGAGCATTTTCTTTTGTGCATTAGCAATGCTTAGTTTTTCTTTTTATGGTAAATATGGATTTCTTGTCTGTCTAAACTGTTGTAGAGCAAATCTAAACCCAAATTGTTACTGTCCTCCAGACACATCTTTTTCTCTTGATCCTGTGCCTGCTTTCTTGCCTTTACTGGAGTAATTTGTTTCTGCTCTCCAACTTACCTTTCAAGCGTGTAATTCAGTAACTGTGTGAGGGAACAAAAAGGAATTCACCACACAGGCATACATTTCTGCCTTAATACCTTACCTAGAATCCACATTTTCTATTTGTTCTACAGTTTCCAATTCATTCTGAAATCATACAAGAGATGTCCTTTAATATGTACCTGACAACACTCGCGAACAACAAAAAAGGCCTTTGACGTATTATTGTTTTGATGGATAGTTTTCATGAGCTTCCTTTAACTGTGATTTAACACACAGATTCCAGTTGCAGATGGAATTTTTTTGTTGTGTTGGAGGAAATACTTGAGCTTGTCAGTTAAGAAATCAGGTGAAAACCATCTCCCACGGCAACAGCTAATCAGAAGCCCTCAAACCGTCAGAAGCCTCCATCTTTACCAGCTGAGCTGCTCTGTATTACATTGTGACGAAATGACTAACTCAGAGACTGCAGGTTACAACAACAACAGGTTCAATGGTTTGCAGGAAAAGGTCTGATTCAAAGTTCACATCCTTGATTTTAGATTGACTTTATCTGATAAATTGTGTGATAACTGTTTATCACATGTCCATGAGCTGCACTCCACTGAAATATAGTTTTGAGGCAAACTAATGCTTTATTCCAATGTTTTTTCCTACTGGGTTTTTATCTGGTAAACAGGCACTCAAAGCTCCTGTATCGCAGGCACTTTTGGGATGACTTTTGTTCTTACTAGACAGAACGTGTTCTCACACTCTGACCAGAAGGGTTGCCCTGAGCTTACACCACACTCCATCTAATTGCATCATCTCACAGCTGTATATTGAACCCGTCCAGACACATAAAACAGCCTGCCTGGCGAGAGTGGATTTCCTGTGCATCACATTTTCAGAGATGATATTTGGCTCTGTGTTGGGATAATTGTATGTTTCACATCAGGGAACACACAGCGGTTGTCTCGTTTTTCTTACAAATGAGCAATCGACAGAAATGTTTGCAGAAGTAGGTCATTTTTTGCTCCGATAAATCATCCTCAAAGCAGAAGATTCAGGAATCTATTGCTACACATCTCTGTTTATTGTCAGCAATTTGAGTAGATATGTTGAAGGGAAAATTGTATTTCTTTCAATGTGGGGTGTGGAGCTGCACAGCTCTTTGTCCAGTCAGACCATATTTATGACAACCACACTGACTTAAGAGTGCATCTCTTGAAAGGGATCATTAAAAGGGTTTTTCCAAAAGTATCTTAAATTAGAAGATGCTCATTATGGACCTAGTCGTGACACATTACAGTGCAGATGCTGGGTGGAAGTAGCAGATTTAAGAGGAAAGAAATAAAAAAATATCCGGTAGTAAGAAAAAGGTTCTTTCTTTTGGTTCTTTGAAGAGTAGGAGGGGGTGTGGCAACCAAACTGGAGACAAATAAAAAACCCAGCTCCACACAGTGTTTGACACTGTAGAGCTGGGTCTCCCCCGTGTTCTGCACAGTACTTTTACCAACAGACTCTGGGACACGAGAGAAACGTCAAATCTGTATTTAAGTCTCTTCCAGCCACAGCAGTGAAGGCCGCTGTTCCTTTTTTTTGTTCCATCACAGAGCAAAAAGCAGTGGTCTGTCCACCGTCATTCTCACAAGGAAAAGCAGCTGTGAAACACGGAACAAAAGAAAGCTCTCAGGGTTCACTTTTCCATCCCACACACCCCCAAAACTAAAAGGATGATTTCATTTGACTGACTTTTTTTTTTGCATAAAGCAATATGCCATTCTTTTCTCATGAGGAATTACATCACATTTTTTGTTCGCAATATTACATCTATGTAACATGAGGGAAATGAAAGTCTATTATCTCCTGTTATCACACACAAGCTTGTAGCTCTCGTAACACAGTTAATGCAGCAGAGGGAGGAAGGCAGCAGGGTCTGTGGGAGGCCTGACCTTGTGGTATGGGATGCTGGGAAAGTGAGAGCTAAAGGAGAGTGGCTGGCCACGTGAAAATGTGATATGTTGCATTCAGTTTTGATAGATTACACTGGCATTAATCAGATCACATTTGTCTTAAGAAGTTGTACGTTTCCACTGAATTAGATGCAAAAGGTTTCCACGCCTTAAGTCATTTTTTACATTTTATGTAATTTCACCACTAAAACTATTAATGTGAAACAGTTTCCGTTATGTTTCTGTCATTTTTGTTTAACATTGTTATGTTTTTTTACAGTTAAAAGCGGGAAACCATGGACGCTATCCACACAAACATAGAAGCTTGTTTCCAGCTAGAAAAAATAAATAAATAGTCATGATCAAAGTCAATTTTTGCCTTAATCTGTGAGGGAGATGTATACAGGGAGATTTTATACATTTTTTGGGACATGATGAAGACAACATATTTCCTTCATTGTGTCTTAAAAAAAAAAACAAATAAAAAAACAAATACCTCTTTTTTGTTGGTTTTAATTACCTTTATTCACCTGACTGATTGGAATTACGGTAAGTAAGTGAGGGTTAGAAGGCTCTGGACACACTTAAGGAATGAAGCAGAGCTCAATTAATTTTTGCATACAGGTCATTGCAAGTTAATGACCGTCTGTCTCGCTGTTGCCAATCTCCAAGTTGTTTCGTTGTGCATCGATGCGGAACAAGCACAGGTTGGATTAATGAAATAACCTAACAATTATTAAGGAAGGTATGTCTCCACATTTGGAGGACAGACAGGGTAACCGTCATTAAACCACGCCAATAATTACATGCACTCCATTAACCCAAAGATTTATTTAAGAGCACACAAAGAAATGAGCAAATGAGTAGCCTCCGGGGCACTTGTGTAACCCCTGGCATCCCTACGACATTCATCCGTCCATACATTTTCTACATCCTCCTGTAATCCAATTCAGGGTTACAGCTTGTGCAGGCAGGGTACATCCTGCACGGGTAGCTAATCCATTACAGGGGCTCCGGCACATTAGAGGACAGCAAAGTGCAGCGGCTACAGTGGCATCTGTGAAGCTCATTACACCCCTGATTAGTGAGAGGACAGTTAGGACCACAAGTTTGGGCCACAAGAAAGGTTTAATTTCTTGTCTGCTTTTTAAAAACACTAACTATTCTACTCCAAAATGCTGCGCTGCTCTTTGTTCCAGCCCTCTCTGGAATCATCACTTCACTTTTCACTTACTCATAGTGTTTTTTAATGTTGTATGTTACCATAAAAAAATCACTTTTTGAATATATCAGATATGAGTTGTACAGTGCTATCACAACATATCAAGACTCTGTTTTATACATTTTCATAAAAAATATCATTTTGCTCTGGTGTGACTTTTTAAACTCAAGCAATGGATGCAACAGCTGCATACGACTGCTTTAAAAGAGATTTCGGGATAATTTAGCTCTTTCAGTTTCAATGATCCACACAAGTTCATTTTAAGGTTTTTAGGCTTTATCTTGATTTTATGTTAAGAGGCGTCAATATTCCCTTTTCATTGCTCAGAGAATTGGTTAAAATATCAGATGGAAAATATGACGGCCGATCAACACTAATAATGCACTTAATATTTTTGTACAAACTGTCGCATCTCTGCTTGATATTGTCACCGTGATCCGCCCATGATCGCTAAATGCTTTGTGGCATGAGCAGTATTTTCACACAGTCAGGGTTACGAAAAACGTTAATACTGTAATCCGGCAGGGCTGAGTCATTGAGATGTGGATTAAGGCACAGCATCCCCCAGAGTCGAAACAAAGAGCAAGGCAAAACAATGCCCATCAGGAGAAATGCATCAGCTGCTATTGAACATGTTCATCCTTTTGTACTTAACTGGGATGCTCATTGTGCTTGAGAGATTTAATGAAATTTCGGTGGGCCAAAAGGATAGCTTACAGAACTTCTTTAGCCATGCCCTCATGCTCACTGAAACACTCATCACACCAGCATTTTTAAGGGTCTGGAACTGAGCAGCCTGCACGTAAACCTGGGGTTGTGATGGATAGCATCTCCCATTGGGGGAATTGCTGAGCAAAGTCAGGGAGAAAGTCTGCTCATCTGTCTCATACAGAGTTTTACAGTATGTGGCCTATCATGAAAAAATTGGGCATCTGGTGAACAGTTTAAAGCAGTGAATACAAACTTAATTAACATTTTCCTAAAGGCACAACAACACTTAAGTTATCTCTTTATGTACAGGTATGGTTACTTCATTGACTCTACTGGGGAAATTGTTAGATCATCTACAGTGTAAATTATTACTGTTATGATTATTGGTTCGAGCAACAGTAACAGATTGATAGATATTCACAGCATATATCCCATTGATGCAGGCGCACTATTCTACTGAATGTGTTTAAGCATTTTAGACGTATATTTATCATGAATGGATACCTGGAAAGCTGGTCTTTATTGAAAACATGCCAAAAAACAAGATATGCAACGCTAAAAAACAAACATCCTATGACAAACGAGAAATCCAGATGCAGGTACAGATGCAAAATGTTGTTGCAATGACAGGAGACCCGCCATGCACCGCAGAAATGGAAGCCAGGGTTTTTCCAAAACCTGTACCGGCAACAAGGAGAGATTCAGATTAATGGTGTAATGATGGCGTTAATTGTTAAAAAAAGTAACAGTGATGACTGCCTAGAAAGTGATACGAATTGCCAGAGTCAGATGTCTCCAGGTGCTCCACACCTTTACTCACCATTTTTCCACATGAAGGTGGTGAACATAAAGGCTGCATTCATGGATTTCAATGGAAAAATCCCGGTGGAATATAGTGGGAAACAATGTATTCTTTTCTCCTCACTTTTAAAGGAAAATCTTTAAGATTTACAAACCAAACACTGTAATGTAATTGAATAATGACTGCGGTAATGCATCAGTTTACTTGCACAGATCGATGCTAGCTGCACAGAAACCAGCTCACTAATGTGCAGTAAAGGGTGATTCTAATGCTTGTTCTGCCATTTAGGAATAGCTGGTAACCCGGTGCTCTTCAACGAAAATGGTGATGCCCCAGGACGTTATGACATCTACCAATACCAGATCAAAAACAGAACAGCGGAGTATAAAGTCATCGGTAACTGGACGGACCAACTCCACCTAAATGTAAGCAGAGGCCTTTTTGTTCTGGGTTTGTGTCTGTCTTTACTGGGAAAATCATCTTACAATGTTTCTTTTTTTAACTGTTCAGCAGCGTGTTAAAGCTCCTCCTAAAGCATTTGATTGTGCTTAGTACCATCTTCAAAGGTGTAAATATCCAAAGGGTGCTTTGAATGATTAACAGGGCAGATGGTGATGAAAAGAAAGCTATTAGAGCTTAAGGTCAGACATATTCAGCATCTCTTCAGACAGCATTACTGACTCCCCGAAACAACACCACGAAAAGCCAATTTGATGAAATAGCTGTAAACTGCACACAAAAACTAAAGTTATCATGTCCCCTCAAAATAAAGAGCAGGCCTTGGACAGCAGAGAACAACTGAGCAGCAAAATGTTTTTTAGTCACGTCACGTGGACGATAAAGGATAGTAGTGACCTACCCTCATTTAACACAACTAATTCCAAAGCGGTCAGCTTTGGATACGCTGTTAAAATTGAAGACTGATATGAGTAAAAAAGTTAAGAATGTTGTTCAAAGTGAAGGATTTTAACTAACCCTTACAGGCATTGTTGTGAGATAAACTCCACAAAGGCCAGTACATATTGAATTTAAACTTATGTTTAATCACCGTAACAAATTAGTTTTTATTTACAAATGATGACTTTGGCTAAAATATTGGAGAACACTCCCAGAAGCTCCCTGCAGAGCAGACAACTAGTTCTCTCTTTTCTCTCAGTTCCTGCCCTTTGGATAATTCAGCCTTACACTGAAACATTTTGCTGAATCCAAGATGAATTCTAATGTGATGCAGAGTCTGCCCTATTCCACCCACCACCAAAGAAAAAGCATAAAAAGACAATACACTTCAGCCAAAGTGCAAACATTAAATAACCTCCCTTTAAATTGTCCTTGACCCGCAACAGGCTAAGAGTCTTTTCAGATCAATAAAGCATCACAACCTCCGCATGCCTCCATTTTAGTCGACTCGGTTATTTAGTACACTTTTTTAATCTCTCGGCGTGCCTTTTCATTTCTGGTGTGTCATTCTTTCACTTTCCTAGATGCGTTCGATGCAGTGGCCGGGCGGTGGCCGTCACGTCCCCTCCTCGATATGCAGCCATCCCTGTCAGCCCGGCGAGCGGAAGAAGATCGTGAAGGGGATCCCTTGCTGTTGGCACTGCGAGCGTTGTGACGGCTACCAGTATCAGGCAGACACCTACACGTGTAAGATGTGCCGTTTTGATTTGCGGCCCAACGGGAATCACACCGGCTGCGTTCCAATCCCCATTGTGAAACTGGAGTGGAGCTCCCCCTGGGCGGTCATCCCCGTGCTCATCGCGGTGGTCGGCATCATGGCCACGCTGTTCGTGGTCGTCACCTTCGTCCGTTACAACGACACGCCGATTGTGAAGGCGTCGGGCAGGGAGCTGAGCTACGTGCTGCTGACCGGCATCTTTCTCTGTTACGCCACCACGTTCCTGATGATTTCCACCCCTGATGTGGGAATCTGCTCGCTCCGCAGGATTTTCCTGGGTCTGGGGATGAGCATTAGTTATGCCGCTCTGCTCACCAAAACAAATCGCATTTACCGCATCTTCGAGCAGGGCACCATGTCTGTGAGCGCTCCCAGGTTCATTTCCCCAGCCTCCCAGCTCATCATCACGTTCACACTGGCCTCTGTGCAGCTTCTGGGGGTGTGCATCTGGTTTGGCGTGGATCCCTCGAAGGCCATTATCGACTACGAGGACCAGAGGACATCTAACCCAGCGATGGCCCGCGGCGTGCTCAAGTGTGACATCTCTGACCTGTCTCTCATCTGCCTGCTGGGCTACAGTATGTTGCTCATGGTCACCTGTACAGTCTACGCCATCAAAACGAGAGGGGTGCCCGAGACCTTCAATGAGGCCAAGCCCATCGGTTTTACCATGTACACCACCTGCATCATATGGCTAGCATTCATCCCAATCTTCTTTGGCACCTCACAGTCCACAGAAAAGGTAAGCTTAAAAAAAAAAAATCACTTATTTAATCTTGTTTTTTCCGGTTGTTGTTGTTCTTTGCATTTCAGAAGACGTTTAGACATTTTTACAGCTGCACATAAAATACTTTTTTTTGGAGAACCCTCTCAAAGACTACCACTCACTTTGTGTCTATTATGAGCTGAGCTCGGCTGAAAGGATTTTCTTAGAAATCAGTAAAACTAACAGGACAGATTGTTCGCTAATACTTTTACTTTTACTTTTGATATGACATGAGTTTGGTTAATACTTCAATTTCAGTGTTATTTAAGTACTTCACATCTCACCTTTTTCTTCGCTTTATTTGTAAAGCAAAAAAACGATAAGGTTATGTCATGCGGATGTTTCAAACTTTAAAAAGGCTTAGTAATGTAGACAGAGAGTAACATTAGGGCTTTGACTAAAGACTGAAGAAAGCACACGAGGCTCCTGCATGTGACGGCTCTATGCCACCGTGCATTAGGGACCGCTGAGCTGTTTACACAAACACAAACTCACGTTTGCACTCCGGCGTCAAATCAATGCACCTGACCCCATGAACCATGGAACTGGATCACATCCAGTGGGAGGTCTGAGGGGCCACAGGTCAAAAGAGACATGGAAATGTAAGTCGGGCCTTGTCTGCACACTCATAAGACAAAGTCTGGGTGCAAAGCCAAAAGGGTAAAACAATGACATTATGGAAAGATGTCAGTCTAGTTGAAAGAGGTGTTTTGGCAACATAACAAAAAAAGACTCGGTGAGGGAAAGCCTCACTCTGGCATGGACACTATCAGCAGCGCCAGCAGGGGTCTGACAGATGCAACAAATTAATCCTCACCTCCTCCCCCTTAGGATTAAACAAAACAAGGCATTAAAATGCTGGCCAGGAAAACTGGCTGTGATAGTTAACTGTGGAACAACATTCTTTAGAGACCCAACTTGTGTGTTGTGTCACTCTAAGCATCCAAAGAATAAGTCTGAAGTTCAAAGCACTGAAGAACATTTGAAAATGACAGCATCAAATTGTATTCCATTAAAAATGTGAAATGTGAACATCACTACAATGAACTGACATCTCTAGGCTCAAACTATTGTGCATTTTCCTGTCGGTCTTCCCTTTTTCCCCACAAACAACCAAATCTGAAGTTACAAAGACCTGCATGTGGAAAAAACAACCCACTGTACTTAGCAACACTGCTTGCCTGATGGCAAATTTCCCAGATACAGTCAGTAAATCATCAGAGCACATCCTTGATTATCATACACATGGCATACAGTTCAGAGGAGAAGAAGCCGTCAAAGTGCAAAGCCCACATTATTCTTTCATGCAAGTTTTGCACGTCTTAAGTCGCTTGTCAACAGCAGCCATGGATATCAGCAAGGTCTTTGTTTAATCATTCCATCTCCTCGCTCTGAAGATGAAAGAGAATTATACAATCCCAGAAAGACAGAACAGCTTTTTTGGAGGATGAGGTAATCCATTAGCTAGCATGGCTTTGAATAGTTAAGTAGAAGTGAAAAAATCTTTGAAGGGTAAATGAAGTCCCACTTTTTGTTTCGTCCTTTTACCCCAGATGCATGTGATTTTACAGATCCTAAAAACCCTAAATCGTTTAATGTTAAGCATTCTGTTTCTCTAGCCTTGTCATATATGAGGCGCTAATTAATTCTTTCCTGCAGAGAAATGTACAGACAATGGCTAGGGGTTAGTTTTGCTTCTATCATGTAGAAAACTTCTACCACTGCCTTGAGCTGTCTTAAGGTAATGCACATAATAGAAGACAAAATGGAAGCTTAGCTGCAGGAAATGTCCTAGATTTTTTCCTTCGTCATTTGTGAAATAAAAAAACAAAAACTAATGTATAACCACAAGTGCATCTGGAAAAACTCATTGAAACTTTTTGCTGAACACATTTTAGTCCTATCGAACGATCTGATCTTTTTTTCATTATGACGGCTTCGGTCAAGTCTTATAACATAAGACTGTGACAAAAACATACAACAAGGGGCAGTTGTGTGTTTCAGTCACCGTCAAACGTTGATTTAGGTGGCTTTCACCAGCTGAGCTACCAGCCGCATGATGCAAGTCCATGCTTCCCATAAACAGCATCAAAGTTTGGCTCCCACAGGTTAAAAATGAATGGTTCTCATTTATAGTTAATGATTTCAGTTTTGAACTGTTTCAAAGCTCAGACCATTTAAGTTTTGGGTTAGAAGTGAGAATAAAAGACTGAGTTTGAGAAAGACAAGAAATCAAAGTGTTGAGTCTTTCAATGAAATAAAACATACTGGAACTTCAAGTTTAACACAGAAAGTACAAAATCCTAAAATAAATGGTCCCTAGTCATGTGACAGACAAAATACACCTTCTTTGAATTCCAAGGTCTGGGCTATCGGGACATAATTACTAAAAGACATAAATCAACGTTTCACCAGGTCTTGATATCAGATAAATAAAATCTGAACAACAACATTTGCTAATATTTCTGTGTCAGTCAATCCTCACTGTTTCCACAAAAATCCAAAGATTAGATAATACAACGTACCTTGTTGGTTGGTGATAAGATGTGTTTGTTATGAGCAAAGACAAAAAGCAAAAGAGGAGGAGTGTGTACTTTCAATTTTTTTCAAAGTTTTAGCAAATTCTGATGGAGGCTTTAAGGTGTAGGCTGCAGCAGCACTCTGACCAGCTCAGAGCTCCATATTTTCTCACTTAAACTTCCCCAATAAAAGGAATAGGGTTGTGTTTTGGAGACTTTACAACTCACAATGAATATTGTTGATGATAGTAAAGAATAAATGTTAATCTATGAAGCCACATGTTGACCTAAATGATCTGATCTGATTCCATTTCCATTTCCATCCGTCTGCACGTTCAAGTTTTGAATGGCATCTCTTCCTTTATGATGCAATAGGATGGTTAAATCTTGCCCTCTTTGCAAACAGTTGGTTCTTTTCTTCAATTACTGCTGTCCTTCAAAAGCTTTCAGTCATTGTGTCTTGCTTATACAAACTCTGTGTGTCATGATGTTGCACTTCATGGGCATTACAGCAAATTTCCTGTTTAAAGGGGGCACTGACTCGACTGTTCATGAATAACGATGCACATCAGAACCCCTCAAGATACTTCTTTATTATTGATGAGACGTTTTAGTGTTTTTCAAAACCCGAAGAGGTTTGTGTGAAATATCTACCAGAGGCTTGCATCTTCTCATTAAAAGTAACATAGGATCACGATTTAGGTTTAGAAAGTTGAACAAAGAGCAAGAACTTGAAAGATGCTCTTTTGACGGATGAGATCTAAGTGGCAAAGCCCAAATACCTCACGTCAACAGGTCACAGTCACTGAGTTGGCCACAAAGAGAAAAGGGTTGGGGTTTTTTAAGTTGTCTTTTCAAAGTAAAGACCTCAGCCAAAAATGTAAAATATTGTGGTGGCACTTTCAGAAGACTATGCCTGTAAATAGAATAGCCAAATTACCTCCACAATGATTTGAGTGATAATGTCAAGCAGAAAATTATTACCTGAAATTATTGTTGCTAAAAGTCATTCTACAAAGACATCGAATCAGCCGGTGCACTTACTTGGTCGCTCAATATTTTTTCAGTTTTTTTTTTATTTTCATCAGTGGCTGAGTGTGTTTTATTTATTAGGTTCTGATATGTATAGCTTTAGAACCGGAAAACAGTTCTACTTAATTTATTTGCTCTGTATGAATGCAGCACCACAGCCTCTCCCCCCCAACCCCTATAATCGCACACACATGAGAGTTTTATTCGAGGGCTCTTGACTTGTGGGAGACCTGGAGATCAAACCACTCATCTTCTGACTGGTATTCAGTCCTCCACCTGAGCCACGGCTGCTCCCACAGTCCACTCCAAAGGGAGCCATAAGGAATGTGTGTCAGAAATGTAATTATCCTCTCCTGCCTGGCCCACCGGGCCCCGCATGGAGCCCAAATATTTGTGAGTGTGCTGGGATCAGTCTCCATTCACAAAGACAACACACTAGACAAAGAAGAATGGGATTCGAAGAAAAACAGGGCTTGTTACAAGGGGAGACTTTGCAGGAGAGTTGGTGTTATTCTCACTTCTGCAATGTACGGTCGACCAATTACATGCTCACGCTGACTTATTGGACCATGTGATCAGTTCTCTACGTGAGCATGGAAACTATTTCCTTTCATTTTCATCCACAGAGGAAATGGCGTGTCCTGCTATGTAGAATGACATCATGGTTTAGACCAGCGGCTTTTGACCATTTTTGTTTTCAGTCTATGCTTTAATCTTTGAGCCTGTCCTAATTTTCTGACCATGAAACTGATTAAGACAGATATTGATAAGACAAATGCTCTTCAAAATTGTCAGAACTGTAACGACAGCTTGGTTGGCAATGAAAATAAACCTTGTGACTGATTCGCTGAGCTGCTACATATGCAGTGTTGTTATTCAAGGTATTAACACGTCGAAGCAAAACACAGCTCACAATCGTCATGCTATAAATGACAGTCCCCTCAAATTGTCACAGCCCACATTGACATGTCTTTCCAAGCAGTCAAATGCTCCACTTCCTCCTAATTTACCTTTTTGAGTCATCTGTATTCTCATCGCCGGCTTACAGTGAGCATCGGCACCAGAGACAGTCATTTATATGTCATCTGGTGTGAGGACTTATGCAACCAACGCCAAGGGAGGCATTCTCCATTATTCAAATGAGAACATATGGTCCATCTATGGAGGGGGTCATTGACAAGCTTTACATTACTTTAAGGAATGGATGGGACACCTGCTTACCTGGAGGAACAGGCTAAATCATTGGCTGTCTCAAACACAGAGGCAGGAGGCGGGGCTTCAGACAATAGCCTGCTTAGGAATGAGGCTCCAGCACAATAGGCTTAGTTCAAACGCAATCAGCCCACACAAACAGGTCCTGCCATTACAGAGCATGAATGGACTGATAAATTGAATGATGCTTTTCATTTCCCCCATGAAGCATCCACTAATTTTGGCACTCTCGACAAAAAACGCTGTTAGTGCCCCGGTCTGACAAAGAGTGGGAGTTGCAGTGAGTTCAACCAGCTCAGACTCCAGCAGACGTGTATTTGTTCGGCGTTCATCTCTGCTACCTGCCACTATTTCCACATTCCGCTCTGTTTTGATTTAATCTGCATGGAA